GGCGACCCGCGAAGGCTTGGGAGGGTCTCAAAACACTGCTGGACACGGAATGTTCAAGCAAATTGGAGTAAGACTGAGAAGCTAGTTAAGCAGGAACCGAAGTTCGGTGAAGAGGTGTAACAGTGCAAAGGCCAGCATAGCGTTCGTTTGCCTAATCACGGAACTGGATAGGGTCGGGCCCAGGGTGCAGAGGAGATGTGGGCTCAGCCACCCGAGTGCAGAAACCCGATTGTGTGGCCGAGAGACCAAGGAATAATCAGGGGTTCGGCGCACAACCCCCCGCGGTATCCCGGGGGCCAGCCACGCGAGCGCAGTAACCCGGGACCAAGGAGTATCAGGGGTTGTGCGCACACCCCCCCGGGGGCCTCATGCTGACACTCGGGGAGAGGGGGCTAGAAGCATGCCAGTGTAATGTAGCACAATGTTGGCCATTTGTGGACTGCTTTTAAGAATGTTTCATTTTCAGAGACTGATACCTTCAACCACTCAGACATCCATCCAAAGCAAAGACGGCCCTCTTACCTGTCTTTCCACTCCATCAAATATCAAATATTATCAATAGATGGAGGGGTCCACATTAGGGTATGGGCTTAATCAACAGTTAATTCTTCCTTATAGGAAGCAATAAATCCTGTCAGGGTTCCCTGGGCCGTAACGTGGGGAAGCGTGTAGCAGGTTGACCAAAGTTTTTCCATATGGACGCTGGGGCCCGTTCCCAGCACGTGCTGCTCTCCACAAATAGATCGGAGCTGTGTCACAAAAAAAAAAAGGAAGAAAAGAATCAAAACTTCAAAAGAGGAAAGACAGGGAAAAAAAGGCCAAAAAACAAAACAAAACAAAACAAAAAAAATCCTAGAGAGAGAAGTCAGGGGTGGCCAGGCCTTCTTCTGGCCCTATTATTTCTGCCAACAACCTGCTCAGTCAATCCCCTGGGGTCCAGGGTTATCAATGCTGGCAGGGACCCACGAATTTGTTCGCATTCGTTCTGATTTCAGTCTGTATAAGGGACGCTGGACCCGTTTTCCAGCAGGTGACGCTCCCCACCAATAGATGGAGCCTCTCCCCGATTGGTAGTGG